GAAACCAAATCGAAACCAACCATGTGGAGGGATCCATGGCGATGCCTCATTTTCAGCAGACGCGCTTTCTTGCGACTTTCAGCAGTCATTTTGCTCGAGGGAAGAGCGGGAAACAAGCACAGGCTGGCGACATCAGTGAAAAGCTTCCGTATGGTTGAGAGCTTAGTACTCATTTAGGTTGGCGGACTTTAAAAGAACGCATGGCTTTCAAGAGAAAACGGAACGATATGTGTGGGTGCTTGCCTCCACAATACATATGCAAACATGGGCAACGTGCATATACATACAAATGTCATACAAATGTATGTATATTATTTGTATATATACAACATTTGCACGTTTTACCATCCGACGTGATAGAACATGCATATGTATGTATACATACACGTATCTATACATATATATAAATATATAGGCACAAGTAATTTGTTTTTTACATGTCTATATGCACAAGCGGGGCGTATATATATATATATGTACACATGTTATCTATATCATTCTGTTTTGTTATGTTACAATAGATAGATATCTTTGTCTGTGTCTGTGCCCGTGTGCGCGCTTGAGCATGCTTGCGCTGATTCACGCCCCTCCAAGCATGTTTGATCATGTGCGCTCGTCTGTGCATGCAGTTCGTGCTTGCCACTGAGTCTGCATCTCCGATCTTCACCCCCAGCCTTCGGCATCCCAACGCTATCTCCTCCTAAGCATCCATCACAACCTGCCAGGGGCCCCTAGATCGTCTGGGCTTTCGGCTCCTTGGCCACAAGCTGGTTGGCGCCTATGCCGAAGGGACCCCCCCGGGAGGCGTCTGTTGGAAGGACTTGGAACAAACCTTTGAGTTAATCCTGGCAAATTGCTCAATGGACATCAGGAATGCTTAACCAAATCCCTTTCGCATGGGTGAGCTCGTCTTTCGGTGAGCTCTTTGCAAGTGACAACTTGCTCGTTTCGAAGCGAATCCACGAACCCGGGTAGAACGGTATTCCGCTGAACGGCCTTGGTCATACTCATTGGTTTCTGGTCACTTGACTGTTAAATATTTTGTGGTGAATGAAACCAGCCATCATCAGTGGGTGTCAAGAGTGCCACTTTGCAACGGTTCTGAATACCCCTCACATGGTCACGTGTAAGACATGGCCCGGCCTGTGCCATATGAATAGACCAAGGCTTTTAAGACAGACATTGGGAAGGCACATGTCCCGCCTGCCTCCCTCCAAACATGGACTACGATGCTACCCTTTTCACTTCCACGTTTGGTGGGAGGGTCGCCACTTCTTTGGGTACTTTTCCTCTTCATCCTCCAGGGCCAAGCGGCCTTTTGAGTCTGCCCCTGTTTATTGGCCTTTTGGGGTTGAAGGCTGCAAGCACGACAGAATTGAATGGTTGACCTTTCTTGGCTAACCTTTGCAAGTGGTTGCCTGCTCGTCTACGGTTCCTGCCCTGTCACCTTTGAGTGAAACTCAGGGGAAATGCAACCCATAATCTTCTTGATGCCAAGGACAACTTGAATCCCTGCCATGTTGTCAGGCATGTGCTACTCTGTGATGGTGAATTTGTCGGCTGGGCGTTTGCGCATGGTGGGCTTTCTGAGATGCCGGACATTCCGTATTCCCTCCCTTCAGCTCACTCCGGCCATATACATTTTCGCGCGCAAAACAATTCGAGTGGCTTTTGTATTGTTTGGGGAACGCAGTTGTGGCAAACAAAGCTCTAGACTTTTCCTCCGGAAGTGGGTTGGTGGCGCGGCGCCCCTCCATTCCTGCAAGGCCACGGGGCCCCCAGGCCTTGTTTCAACCGGCCCCAGGGTTGGCCTTGTTGACCTTTCCTCTTGGCTGATTTTTCCGCCTTTGAAGTGTTTTAGGGCTCCTGGATTTTGCCAAAAATACAAAAACAAACACGGCAGGAGAACGGCAACCCCCGTCTTTTTGCTTGCGTCCCTTTGTTTTGCAAAAGGGTGTAAGGCAAACGGACTGCCCGCGTAGCTGAGGCTCAAGGACAAAGCCGAGGCACTCCCGTGGGGGGATGGAAATGACGGGTAGCCCTCGGGTGCTGGTTGGGACCTTTGAGGGTGGGAGGAGAACAAGCGAATGCAGGTCGGTTGACGGGCAAAAGCAGGTCTGTCAGAACCAATGTTGTTGCTGGTGGCGGTGGCCGCACAATGGCAGCAGCAGCGTTGCTGGCGTTCAAGGTGGTAGCCTGTGGGTTTTGTGTGCCTTGGTTGGGGTGGGTTCTCAAGATGGGCATTGTACCCGGGATGCTGCAAGTGGGAGTAGGCACTTCAATAGTTTGGTAGCAGGAGGCGTGCATTTGATTGATGATTAAGGTTTTGCCAAGCAGCCACAGCAAGCTGCCCCGACCGAAGGCTTCCAAGCAGACCTCGCCCCGCACTCAGAGAGAAGCCATACACGTCACACATCATGAGTTGCGCCGGAGTCAGCAAATTTGTCAAGGCCGAAAAATTGGTCATCATGTCGTGCAATGTCATGTTTTTACGATTCCCAGCGGTACTTTTAACCCTGGGTGGTTGCCCCTCTAAAAATGAGGACTCCCAAAAAGGAAGGGTTCCCTTTGTTCACTTGTCCACGCTTCGGGTCACGGTTGGGTTTGGACCATGGTAAGGGTTGCAAAATTGACTGGCAATCTGCAAGCTAAAGCCATGCTAGTAGCAATCTGTGGGAGCCCCTTGACAGGCCCCTTGACTGACATTCGTCTGAGGTTGTGCTGAATTTGCTAAACCATGTTTACTATATCATGATAGTTGAACATCGCAACAGCGGATCCAAATGTGGTGTGTGGGCTTCAGCGTGGGTCAGGGGTTCGCTCCTTTGCGTAGACTACTCAGGAACCCCGTTGCAGTGGAAGAGGCGCGCGAATGTCTGTCGGGTGCGTTGATGGGTCTGGAATTTTGGACTGACTTTGTCAACCCGCCGGCAAGCATGGACATGCACAGAACCCCTCGAGAAGATTGCTTTCCGAGGAGCAGAAAGGGTGTTTGTGCAGGAATGGAATTTGTTTGTATGTCTAGCCCTGGCGTGGGTAGGATGGGTCTGTTTGGACAATTGGCTGGGTCGTTGGTTGGTTGGCTGCCTGGCTGGCTAGGCTTTGCTAGCTGGATGCCTGGCTAGTTGTCTGGTCTGTTGTTTAGTTGGTTGGTTGGTTTGTTGCTCGGCCCGTTTACTAGGATTGTCCAAGCAGATTCTGTGAGATTCCCGCAACTTGGCAAAGAGGGGGCAGGTTGGTTTCTTGCATTGACCACTCGCTCAGGACATAATGAATGATCGCCTTACGGTGTTTCCTTGGTTTCTTTTTTCCAACTCTGTTTGGAAGGTTGCATGGTGGCCAGACGGGAAGCAACAACGCCGCATTTCCAACGGACATCAACACCGCAAACTGCCCATTTGGAAGCATGTCCAACAGACATCAGCACCGCAAACTGCCCATTTGGAAGCATTTCCAACAGACATCAACACCGCAAACTGCCCAGTTGGAAGCCAGTTGCTCTTAGTTAGAGATGTCCGGCAACTCGAAGAATATCCAAGGGTTGATCATCAGGGTTCAATGTGCGCAGGTTTGGCAGAGTCAACGGAACCACCCAACCTCCCTAAGCACCGACGGGCAAGGTGACTTGTGTCGAAGCTACCAGGCGACAGGTCAGCCATGAGAGGCCCTTCCCAAAGGTTTGCGCATAGAAGCAGGATCATATGCAATAGACTGGCGATAAGTGAAGCACGCAGTTCATCGATTTACTCGGGGCGAAGCTCAAAGCACTGATCCCCTGCCAATTTTCCTCGGCACCAAACGGCCAGACGGCCACGAAGTCGCATCTTTTGTCCAGCCAGGGGTCGTCTCAGAACTTCAAATGGAACACAGAAACTGGTTACAAGTTTGATTGGTGCACAGCGCTGGGCCGGGCCAAGGAATTTGCTTTTCGCGCCAAGGGCGGGTTTTCGGTTGGCAGGTGGACGTAGACGCAGAGGCCGACCAGGCGAGATCTGATTTGCGTGTGCACTGGGCTGTGCAGATTTTTAGGTAGTCCTTGTTGTGGGTTGTTATAAAGGGAACCACGGGGAGCCACATTTGAGCCAAACACCTACCTTTGTTTCGGTGGGTTTGCCGGCGATCAAATCCACAAGGGGTTAATTACACCAGAGGGTTTCTTTGAGCGATGAGACAAGGGATTGACGTTGGCTTGGTTTTCTTCTTCTTTTTTGCCAGGGGTCAGATGTTGACCCTTGTAATGATCCGGTCTTTGGAGCAACCCGTAATCCTGGCCTATCCCTGGCCTTTTGCGCATGCGTGGGTCCCCCCCGAACAAGGAAAGTGAACACGCACGGGATTCTTACCCTCCATGCCCTTAGCCGCGCCCCAAACGGGGCTGCAACTAGGACAGCGAGGGAGTACCGCGGGGGCGGGGGGGGAGTAGTAGAAAGACTTGCGGTTCAGTTTTGCAGTTGAGCAGCCCGCATGTCCCCAACTTTGGGTTGCGAGAGGATGTTGGTTGCCAATCGTGTGCCGAGACTATGGAACATTTGATTGGCCAATGCGTTTTGAAGAGCGCAGAAAGAGGAAGAAAAGAACAAAAACGCAGAACTCGGGTGGTTCAAGCCTTAATCCTGATGCCGGTAGTGGGGCACCCATCATTTGAACAACCCAGTTCACGAGCAAAATAATATTTTGTTTGAAGTGGCCATCACCAGTGTCGCGCGTTCATAGGTATTTCAACACCCTGGGCCGGTCCCTTTCACTCTCACAAAAAATGTCCCCAGTTGGATTCCCTCAATTCGGATGTCGCTTGTCTTGACGAACGGAGGCGGGTCAATTACTGCTGCCATTTGCCCCCAAAGTGTAGGAATCTCTTACCATAGGCATTCATTGCCCAATCCCATTTTGTTTACTGGCAAGCTTGGCAGAGGTTCTGTTCGCCTGCTTCTTTCTTTCATTTTGCTTGCTTGCTCTCTTGCTTGCTTGTTTGACTTGACGCCCCTCGCGGGTCTCGAGCCATGGGCGCGGCGCCCGGGCGCGTGCCGGAGGCCCAGCTGGCGCAGGCGCCGCCGCCCAGGAGCTTCGTGGCCGCCACGGACCTGCGGCTGCGCTTCCGCGGGCGCCGCGTGATCCAGGACGCCGCGGTGCGCTTCGACTGGCCCTGCGCCTTGGATGGGCGCGGGGGGGGTGGTGGGGGGGATGGTGGGGGGGATGGTGGGGGGGATGGTGGGGGGGGGGGTTGAGTTTGGTGTTTGGTCTAAATGTTCATGCTGGTTTAGGACAAAAAGGAGGGGGGTTCTTTTCACTCCAACAGTGAATCCACACTATAGCCAGGGGCACCCATATATTAATCAACGCGGGTTTTTTAAATCTGGGGTCAACATTAACCTTTACCTTTCCTGACCTTGAACAGTCGTATTTTCCCTTCGGGTTTGGTCAGAAGAGAACCCTTTATCTTGGGAAAAGGGACTTTTGTTCCTGTCCCGCTTTTTGTTTGGGAGTTGCTTTCGCGAAGGCACCAGCTTCAAGCTGAAAACCTCCACCAGCCGGGTTTGGCTTCGGATGGACGGGGCGCGGAACTACTTCAACGTCTTGGTGAATGCGAGCCTGCTCTGCGTGCTGAAGACGCTCAGTCCAAGCCCGACCTTTCGACCTAGTGGTTTGGTCCTAGAAAGGTGAATCAACCCCCTTTCTTGGTGCAAGAACAGGTGAATCAACCCCCTTTTTTGTGTCCAATGGGCCAGTGAGGACCTACCCCCAGGTGCGGGACTACCCGCTGAAGCTGCCGGGCCCGGATTCGGAGATGCGCGTGATCGAGGTGCAGAAGCGCACGGAGTCGCGGATCGGGGGCACAATGCAGAAGCCCACGGGACCGGTGGTGCTGCACGGGGTGGTGCTGGAGGATGGGACCTTGGAAGAGCTGGAGGAGGACACGCAGGACGGGACGGGTGTGCGGCGGGTTGTTTTGGAAGGATGGACTTGGGGTTGGGCCTAAAGGGAAACCAAAGGGAAGCCAACCGTTTGAGGTTTTTGGGGCGGAGGGGTTTTGTTCTTGCGTCTGCTGTCAATCCGGGGGTTGGGCTGTTCTGGGCGTCCGTGACGCATTAGGAGCGGCGCTTGGAGTTTTTGGGCGACTCGGAGACCTCAGGCTTCGGGAACCTGGGGCCCAGCCAGCCGGGGGCGCCGGGCCTGCGGTCCCTTCTGACGGTGAACATCGCACACCAAGACGGCAACCAGGCGTGGCCCGCGCTGGCGGCCAAGGCACTGGACGCCGACTTCCACAACATCGCCTGGAGCGGGGCGGGTGTTTTGGCTGCCAGCTGGTGGGATCTTTGGACTTCTACTTGTTGGGTTAAGAATTTGCTCCCCACTGAGCAGCAAAAGCTTGTAACTGTAAGCTGTAAGCTTTTTTACCACGTGGATTGAGCCACCCAGGTGTGGTGTGGAATGGAATGGGCTGTTCTGCGGATGCGCCTTTCCATGACTTATACGCCCGAGCGCTGGGTACCAGCGAGGCCGAAGTGGTGGATGAGTGGCAGCCCGATGCCGTGGTCATCTACCTGGGGGGCAATGATTGGTGGAGCCTGGCGGACAAGGGCCATGACGCGCTCACGGAGGGCTTCCATCGATTCTTGGAACGGGTGCGGGAACGACGAGCTGAGGCGGCGATTTGCGTCTTGTTGGCCTCGCCCGACTCGATTTGTGCTTGCATCGGCAGCCAAGAGGACCAGGCAGCCTTCGCGGCAGACATGTCTCAATGCTGGAGAAGTGCTGCCGAAAAACTGGGGGATTCTCGGGTGTTCCTGGACGTGGTAGCGCCGAATCCTCCCTGCTCCTTGTCTGAGCCGGCAGATTGGGGGCAGATGGGGCACTGGTCTGTCCAGGGCAACAAGAAGTGGGCGGCAGCTGTAGTTCCAATCCTGGAAGCGCGCTTGGGGTGGAAGGCAATTTGAAGAATGAATCACACCCAAAGAAGTGCCACTGGACAGTACAGGCAGCAGTGCGAAATGAAAACACAGGGGTAGAACGAGTGACTCAACCAAGCTCTTGATGCAGCTCAGCATGTCACCTCGGCGTCAGACCGGTTCCCTGGTTGCAGGAGCCGAAGCGCCGCAGATTTGACTGGCCGCAGCCTCAGCAAAGGTGATTCTTCAGAACCCGGGACCCGGGGTCTGGGAGTTCCACTTGCATAGCTTCACCCGCCGTTGGAACAGCACTTGACTCGAGGCCTCTGGAAACAGTCAGATCCAATTTAAGCCCGATCACACATGTCAAAACTCGCTTCGTGTGACATGCAGTCGCACTTCATCCTTCAGACACCGGTCCAGCCCTTCGCAGGTCCTCAGTAGATCCCTTTGGATTCTCGCGGTGCTTGCTGGCAACGGGTGAAGATGGGCTTTGGATTGTGATGATCGCTCCTGTGCTTTGGAAGCACTGGCCACCAGTGTCGGGAACTGCTTTGCCTCTCCACTTCGCCCCTTGCCTGCGTGCGACCGTCGGCCCTGAGGTCTGGCCAGGTGCCGGCTGCGCATTTGATCCAGCCCTGTGGTCCACGTGTTTCCGTTTTCCATGCCAACTGTGAGCTGAACCCGCCGTCTGGTCTTTCAGGGGCACCTAGGTTCCAGGATGTTCCATGTTCCTTGGGTACCCGACCTGGAGGTAAGCACGGATTTGGGCTGCCGTCTTTGAATCCTTGTCCGTTTCCGTTGCTGTTCAGAGGGCACCCGGAACCTCCGTGAAGGATCTCAAGCATAGAGCAACTGCCCACATCAGTCTCCATGTTGGCCCGTACATGTCCAATCAGTTGCCCCCAACCCACTTGCCCAGTGATTTGTTCCCATGGCCGCTGGTTGTGGGTCCATCACCCCCTGTTCAAGGGTTACATGTCCAAGCAGTTGGCCTACCCAGGAGTCAAGGCTTTGCCAAGCTGGCGGGGCCTGGGCCGGGGCCCCAGGCCCCGTGCCAGTTCGCCAGTGGGTTCTTGGGATCCGGGGACAGGTCGCATAGCCTCAAAGCTGAAGGTGGCTGAGGCCTGGAACTTTGTGGTTGGACATGCGGAGTTAGTTTCGCACGGAGTCCAACTGTTGTCTTTCCTTCTTCTTTTTTTTGGTGGGGGGGGGGGGCAACAGTAACCCAAGGACGCAAGGTTGACCCCCCCCCCGGCACGCCGGATCCGGGTGGTGCTGCCCAAAGAAAGAGGGGATGCCCGCTGCTCCAACTCCCATGCAGAGCAATTCCGGGCCCCCACGCATAGCCTACCACTAGCTGGTCGTTGGAAAGGGGAAGTTTCCAGAGCTCCAAATTCCGAATTTTTCAGGAAGCTCAGGAAGCCAAGCGTACGCTGCGAGTGCAAACGGGGGCATCTTCAAAAGTGATTTTTGCAAATATCCACATCAGAGTCACGTGAATTAAAGGGTCCATTTCCGATTAAGAAAGAATGATACCCCGATGACTCCAGACTTGAAGGGCAATGTTGGCATCGGAGTCTCTGGAGGACAATGCTAGTCGGACGGGTTTTAATGGCCTTGAAGCAAGGATCTTACCATCAAACGGGGAACCACGGGAACCACGCGTAATTCGCGTGGTCCTGTTTCTGACAACCCGAAACTGATATTGCCGTGTGTGAGATCAACATGTGGGAAAGCATAAGTTATAGCCCATCCTTTCTTTTGAGATCTTCTATGGCATAGTCTTACATTTTCGGCTTTGGCTCGTCCAGGTTACCTTAATAAGACCGCATGTTTCACGAGGCCTCTCCGAACAGCCAGCGAAAAGGCTGATCTTCAGGCCGAGTAAATTCGTAAAGGGGTTCCTTGAGTCTCCTCTTGGCAGAATTGTTTTCGGTTCGGTCACCCCCTTTGGTGTTTGCTTGTGGGGATTGTGCTATCGACTTTCAGCTGTGCAAACCTGTGTCTTAAGACAGAACCTTCGAAGTGGGTGTTGTTCTGGTTCTCCTGCAAACCACCCCAAACAGTGCACCTTCAAAAACACAAACCCAGATAGAATAGTTTCTTCATGAAACCCAAAAAAGGGCAGCCTCAAAGACCAGACGCACCCAATTCAACCTCACATGTTCGCACCGATTGTGCCCAGGCCAAAGATCAGCAGCGGCGGCCTTAGGCATTTCCCACATTCGGGCGGCACGCCACCTTTTTGGTTGCCAATCTTGACTGGGAGGTGTCTTTATGGGTGTGATTGTTGAATCAAAATATAGGATACTATTGATGAACATGTGCCAAACGATTCCTGCGAGCTTCCCTTCTAAATCTTTCCAAGGGAATCCCAGAAAGGCATGGGCATTGTTTTTTTGTCAGACGCCCAGAAAGCCGAAAAGGTGCCCTCCAAAGTGTTTGCCGGTGGCAACAGAGTTCCTTTTTCTGGGTCTCCAGAACGAGTTCATTTTTTCTCGTAAACTAAATCTGAAGCAGAGACTGAGCCTACGCGTTTGGGTGTGCCCTGCATTCACTCACGTGCCCAAAGCGAATTCCGAATCAACGAGCTTTTGACCTGTTGACTTTCCATGTTGATGACTCTTTTTGGCCAAGGGCTCAAAAGGTTAGTTTGTTGTGGGGCTCAAGGGTAGCCCTCAATGGCCTGCGTTGGATTTTCTCATGTGGGTCTACTTTTAGTGAGGGCAGCTCCTAGAACACCCAAGCAGTGCCAAGCCAAAACGAAGCCAACTTTAACCAATGCTGGACTACCACAAAACCCAGATGTAATGACTTTCTGGGTCCGGACAGCAGAAATCCCCAAATAAGACTCCGCCCCGCAAAACACATTGAGCATCTAAGGCCTGAATCACTTACCCCTGGAGTAGGTGCCCCTGATGTATGGCAACCTTTAGAGCAATTGTTGGCAGGGGCACGTTTCCAGGACTCGTACCTAACGCACAGGCCTCGCTCATTCCAATGGGTTTTAGCCAAATGATTTTCGTGGCCATAAGAGAATAATGTGTTTGATGCTGTTGCCCTTCTTGCCGCTCCCTTTCGACACAGGGTCCCCTTTGTTGATTTCCCCAAAGGAAGCTCCTCAGACGGAACACTCATTGACCGAGGGCCCATCAGTCCGGTGCAGGAGGCGGCGCGGCCGTTTCGCGACGAACATGAAGCGAGCAGATTCGGGTGTGTCATTCTATTGGAAACCTCCTTTTGGTTGCTTTTAGCAGGAAGCCAGCAGGAAACCATTTTGGAAGGGACCCCCAATGTTCAGACAACCCAAAATACATTAATGCGCATATTCACATGCGCCGTGGTCGAACACCCTATCACTTGGGGTTGGTAGGGACGGTGTGGACTCCTAACGAGGTATTTTAGAGACCCATTGGAAGAGGGAACAAGTTTGAGCATGGCTCTCATCAGACAATCCCGTGCAAAACAGTTTGAACAGAAACAAGTCCATGATCGGCTTGTAAGCTATGTGCTTTGCCTGGGTCCCCCAGTAGTGCCCTTCACCCTTTTTTTGGGGAGGGTTGCCCTACTAAAATAACTACAGAAAAAATCGGGCACCCCTATTCGAACCTCTCTACTGGAGGAGCTAGTTTGCAATTGCGGGGGCGCTCACCAAGCGCTTTTTGGGCGGCATTTTTCCACTTTCGCAGTTCAGCGTGCTCGTAGTCATTCGGGGACTTGGGTTCACCTGTCATGTTCTGGATTCTGCTTGCACGCCTTGGGGTTGATGCTGTTGGAATTGCGCGGCTCTGGGTCAACTCGAGAGCTTTTGGTCTGGCAAAAGGGGATGCCTCGGCTGCGGCTCAGTGGCTCATGTGTGAAACCATTCACGCGGCGTGACAGGAAAACCAAACGGAAACCAGCCAATTTTGTGGCATCCTATACCTGTTCCCTGGCATCCTAAAGCCAGTTGCACAAAACAATGTTCAATTCCGACTTTTCGGGGATTTGGATGTACGAAATCCGCTTCGCACCAGCTGGCGGCTGGTCTATCAACCAGTACCCTCCCACCAATTCACATGTAACTTGATGTTTGGGGGGGGGTCCTGGCACAGGACCATTTTCTGTTGAAAAGGACCCTCTGGGTTCCACGTTTCTTGGTGCAAATAGCCGTTCCGTGCGCGAGGTGGTCCCTGTGGAAGTTCATGATGCCTCGCCCCGTGCGAGCCTTAGCTTAGCCTCCTTTTGAGGGACCCGTCTTTGGCATCCAAGATGATGTTCAGATGTCAGAATGTCAGCTCAAGTTCTTTTCTTAATATCCCAAGATGGCAGCATGCCGTTCGGTTCTCCGAAGGTCAACTCTCAGAATTGGGGAGATTAGGGGCCTTTTGGTGTTTCTTATCAAAGGTGGCACAGGGCGGCACCTGGGTCGAGGGCATATGCTTGACAACCCACATTTGTGACATGTTGTGACCGAGGTTGGGCCAAGTCCATTTGTGAAACAACAAGCGAGGAGGGAAGCAATGGCCAGTCGGAGATACGGTCGTGGGATAGTTGGGACTACGGCGCGTGGCAGGAATGTTGTTGGGCGCCTGCGAGGGCGCAGTTGCTGCAACATGGGCGGATGGCATCACGATCAACCAGTCTGGGGTGTACATGTTGCTGTTTTCATCGCGGCCAAAGTTGAAGCATGTATGTGTGCAGGTGGTGTTGTGTAGGTGGTTTTCGAGAAAACAAAAAAGTGTCCGAGATCAACTCTGCCGAGTCATGCCCCTTGTCCCACTAAAAAATAGGTTTTTAGCAGGGGATGTGAGGGCAGCCCAGGAATTGATGCATGGAAGAGGGCCACTGCATGTTTCCCAGTCAGAGGGGGGGGCTGCTCTCGCTCCCGGGGAGAATCCGTTGACGGTGACGCCATGAGGCAAAGCCGCGAAGCGGCTGTCCAAGTCTTGTCGGCGCCCAAGCATGGATGAGAAGGGCAACACACTTCTGGCAGAAATGGTGATGTTTCTTATGTCTTCCCTGAAACGGGCTTTGCTCGGTTTGTGATACGTAGTTTTTGTTTG